CTAGGTTCATGGGACTCACCGGCTGTATGCTGATGGGGTCCGTGACGACGGTCTGCTGAGTGTTCTGCCTGTTTTGGAAATCCAGCAAGTAACTTTGTTTCAAGAACCGTAATCCTTTGTAGAAGTTTGCAGTAGTTCATGCAGCAAGTAGATTCAACAGGAGGCATTTTCTTTCTCTTCTGTTTGAATGTGGGCAGCTGTGTTTTCCCTTCTCCGGAATGTAAGCTGCTGGCAGTGGGAGGCAAAAGTCTTCTTTTTCGTGGCATTATTCCAGTCCCAGAGAGTTTTTAGTTTTAGTGTTTGTGCCAAAAATATGTTGTTTGAGCACTGTGCTGATCTGCTGAAGTAAAAATCTTAGAAAAATCAAAGAAAAGTACAGAAATAGGGAGCAAAGCGCAGAGCAGTAAGCAAAAACGTCCGAACGGTAGCGAAGCCGGAAGCGAAGGGTCCCAAACAAACCAAGCTGTGGGAGACTCAAAGAGTGTCCCAGGCAAGTGTGGATAAAGAAGTCCTCCAATTCGTTGTCCAAGGCTTGCACCCACCACACATTGATCTTGTGCAACATCTTCAGCCAAATACAAATGTCATGACACGCAATACTGTTGTAAACAAAGTCACAAAGGCCTCTGTTGAAATGAAAAGAAAACTGGAAGCTGCCCTTAGTGAAATTGAGTTCATAGCAACAACAACAGACTGCTGGACGGCACACGTCACGGTTTCATTGGTGTCACTGCGCACTGGTTTAACCCCCAGACCATGCAGAGACCCTGTGCTGCCCTGGCATGCAAGCAACTTAAAGGGTCCCATACCTTTTCTGCCCTGGCTGGTGCCCTAAATGATATTCACACAGAATTCAATATCAGAGAGAAGATCATTCGCACTACAACTGACAACGGATCAAACAATTCCTGAAAGCCTTCAGAGTTTATGGGCAGACTGATGATAACAACAATCCTGAACCTGTAGGAGAGGGTGATGGAGAAGAGGATGATCGTGGCCAAAATGATGATTACGATGGAGAAGAGGAAAGTGTTGAGAGTGTTGAATTTGTTGATGCCGGAGCCCTGTTGGACGAAGATGACTACTTGGAATACCAGCTACCCAAGCACCATCGCTGCGCCTGCCACCTCCTCAATTTAGTGTCCACAGTTGATGCTTCAAAAGCAGAGGTCAACCCATTGTACAAGCGCGTGTCAAGGTCCACATTTGCCAAATGCTCTAGCTTGTGGAACAAAAGTTCAAGACCAACCACCACATCTGAAGTAATTGAAGACCACTGCAAACTCCAACTCGTAAGGCCTGTTGCTAAAAGGTGGAATTCACTCTTCTCAGCCGTAGAAAGAATAGTGAGAATAACAAGAGAACAAGGTGAAGGAGCCCTTGCAGCTGTCTGCAGTGAACTAGATACACCTAAGTAAGTGCTTGTTTTTCTGCCTTTCAGTTAATGAATTAACAATAGATTAAGTCATAGTTTTATACTTTGAATAATGTAGAACACATGTATGCACTATGCCAATATACAGTCCCCATATTTACTGTGGATGTGATTTGTAGCAACACAACTACATTTCTAAAAGTCTCAGATGACAATATTTTTCCTTTTTAATTATCAGTTCCTCCAGTTGAAGGTGCTACATCAAGTAGGCTAAATGTTCCATGTTGTGTTTTTCTTTTCTTCTTTGTACAGGTTTACTCCAGTGGAACTTGCATTTCTTGCAGAATATGCAAAGACAATGAGCCCAGTCGCAAAGGCACTGGATGTTCTTCAGGGAGAAACCAGTGTGCAGATGGGATGGTTGGTCCCCACCATAACTGTACTAAGGACCAAGCTCCAGCACCTTCACGTCGCCTCCAAGTTCTGTGAACCTTTAATTGATGCACTTCTTTCAGGCCTTGAAAAATGCTTTGGCGAGATGCTTGCAGATCCAGAGCTGATAGCCACAGCCATTCTAGTTCCCAAATTTAAGACCTGCTGGACAGGTGACGAAAATATCCTCAAACTTGGTAAGTGTCTCACTTCCCCTTAATACGTGTAATTTCTATGGAGACAGTGAAATGAGTTTGAAATGACATTTAATGACACAAACACACACACACACACACTATCCAATACACAATTACAATACTGTCATATGGTCTAAATTGTCCTGATTTTTTTTTTATTCCACAGGCCTTGACTATATCAGAAGCCACTTGGACTGTCAGGCCGAGAATCACATCAGTGAGGGCTCCCAATCATCTGAGGAAGAGGACTTTTTTTCCTCCTTGAAGAAGACCGGCCCTCTTGAAATGACCCAGCAGTTGGATGTGTACCTGGGGTGCCCAGGCTGCACAGTAGAGGTACTGAAGTCCTTCCCAGCTGTGTGCCAGCTATCACTTAAGCTTAATATGGCACTCCCTGCCTCAGCAGCCTGTGAAAGACTGTTTAGTGTTGCAGGGCTGATCTTCAGGCCAAGAAGAGCATGCATTGGCTCAAAGAACTTTGAGAACCAGCTGCTTTTGCGGCTGAACAAAGCCTATTGGTAACTCTTTGTTGCATGTTCTGTGCTTATCTGATGTAGATCCTGATGTAGATTACCCTGTTGTTGTACATACAGAATTGAGTCCAAAGTGTTTGTTACATCTTCTAGTTAAATGTGACATTGTTGCCATTAGCTATAGAATTGAGCATAGTAGATAACAGGAATGTATCAATCAGGAAGGTATCAGGATTATGAGTTATTTTTTATTTTATTTTGTGATTAATCACTTGGATTAATCATTCATTTTGACAGCACTAATGTTTATTGTATATAGACAACCATACAAGGGTAATTGTTACTAAGCCTGCCCTGGGTACACCAATTTTCTTGTCCGTTGCCCTCACAGATTCCTGCAGCTAAGCTTGGATGTACATTTACATTTCAATAAAGGTTATTGATGACATGCCTCTGAAGTTTGACTTTTTGCACCATTACAATACTTATAGGCAACTAGTCATCATATCTTCCGCTCCATGAAACACATGTTAATGCTCAGTAATACACATGTATGGTTCTTTAATGTATTTGCATTGTACTAAAATGCGTTCATTTTCAATGGGCATACAGTATATGCGGCTGAAACAGGTAGCCTAGTGCATCCCAAATTGTTCAACATTAACATTTTAATATAACATTATAGTCATTATGGCCTTTAGGAAAATGTTTTTTTGAGGAGGTGGGATAGTGCACAATAGGCCCCTGTGGCGCGGCCTAAGCTTTTGTCCTTAATGGCATTTTTTTCCTTACATTACTTTTACTTTTATACTTTAAGTAGTTTTGAAACCAGTACTTTTACACTTTTACTTGAGTAAAAAGC